TATGATCTCTACGGCTTCCACATCACCCTGCGATTCCTGGTCCTTGGAAACTTGACCTCAGCGTGTTGCGGCTGTGCCTGCTGTGTGTTGTGCTTTCTTTGTTGTCAACATTGTCTAAATATCTGCTGTCAGAAGTGGGATTTGAACCCACGCCTCCATGGGAGACTGCGACCTGAACGCAGCGCCTTAGACCGCTCGGCCATCCTGACTTCAAAGGAACAGCTTCATTCTAAACTTTTTAACAGAGCTAGAGATCAGAAATGACATTTTTCAAGACATTTTGTTTTCAACAAGTAATCCAAACAAGATCCTTTAACTCTGAAAAGGGACCGACTGATTTTTATGAATGAATGACTTTACTGTCTTTGGGCACCTTCCACTATCCTCACTACCATTGTATATATTTTACTGAAAAAGATTTAGAATATCACAGTTCACAGAATGTCAAATGTGCATTTTTAACATAAAGGGGTTTGTCCCAGTTGGATGCATGCTGCATGTACTCAAAGTATTAAGCAGAAGAACATCACTTCTTCTGTTGACTGGAGAAGAGTAACAATTACCAGAACACTCCCTACTTGCTCACAGCAGGTTCCACCGAGATTTGAACTCGGATCGCTGGATTCAGAGTCCAGAGTGCTGACCATTACACCATGGAACCTCCTCCATAGCTCTCCACCTGCTGCCTCCTACCACTCTCCACCTGCTGGCCTTTATGTGTGCAGTTTGCATGTCCTTCCTGTGGCTGCGTAGGCTTTTTGGTGGGTGCTCTGGCTTCCTGGAACAATCCAGAGACATGGAGTGAAGTTTAACTTGTGATTCTGTTGGCTGCATGTGTGAGTGTAAATGTGCCTGGTTGTCTGTCTCTTTGCGTGAGCTGTGTGACGGGCTGACGACCTTCCTGCCTCTCGCCCAGGGTCAGCAGAGATAGGCTGCAGCTCTCTGTGACTCTCTACAGATTAAAGTGGGCATAGCTGAGTGTCCAACATCTCATCACATGTGTTTGGACAGTTGATTAAACTTGATGAGCTGTACAATACTGCACTGAGCTGGATGGGACTATGAAGAGGAACTGTCATGCTTGATGGTACCTGCAAGAGAACCTCTGCAGGAGAGTGCACATTGTAGTCCCAGCCAGTTAGTGCATGAAATCCATTGGGGTCTCCCCGCGCAGGTTCGAATCCTGCTGATAACAAGTGTTTTCATCTACAGACTTTCACAGTGCCGTTAGAAAGAGTTCGGCTGCTAACAGTGCTGTTCTGATGTCAGATTTTGCACAGGTTTGAAAACAGTTCTGTTCAATTCAGCCTGATTTCTGTCACCTGACCACTGAATAAATAAAAATTTGACTAAATGTTGGAGATTCTTCAAGTAGGTTCAAAACTTGCTCACTGTTCTCATTTCCTGATTATCAATGCAGAATTGTTTAGATAGTTGGTACCTGTCAAAGCTCTATCTACATGCATACCAGAGCCCCGTTTAATATTGAATATAGAAATATGTTATATACAACATATTCCTTTATAATGAAGTGCTACTATGTAAAGGTGTTTAAATAACAGTGTGACTTTGGAAGACCAACTGCACTGACAATTTTGTTTAATTTATTCACGTTATTCACATGTTTAGTGTGTGGAAGCTGTTATTTCACTACTTTGGATCTTGTAATGTAAAAAAAAATAAAGCATGAACTGTCTCCACATGAGTTAAAAGATTTGAAGATTGCTATTTCAGTAACACGTTTGTGTAATTGTAAAAATAAATAAATACATAAATTTGGTCGTTCAAATTTGGAGCTGTTGTGATGCTTATATGTTCTTGTGCTCATTATTTATGATTAATTATTGCCTTAAATGTTCAGATATAACAGCAGGTAAAAGTCACACAGAGTACAACAGCAGAAAAGATGTGAATGTAGTTTTTAATTCAACCTTATGTAGTTGTTTTTTGCAGCACTGACCGCTGTATTTTATGAAACTACTTGTTTTTTATTGGTTTCCAGACTGTGACCAAAATGGCCACATTCGCGGCCTTTTTTTGAGAGTGTGCGAGTTAAAATTTCAAGTGGTTGCATTGGTGTGAGTGCATAATGATCATTAAGCTGTATTACTGCTGATGCAGCTGGCACAGGAAGCTGCTGTGTTGACCACAGTGGTGGAAAGTAGAACTTTTATAATGTCAGTGTACTGCAGTATTTACGCTTAAACATGAGGTCCTAACGGTGAAAAACGGAGTGCACCTGCATTCGTTGTGTTTTCCGCTCATAGAAAAAGTTGCATGCAAAAAAAATCACACAGTTTGACTTTGGACAAATCTGACATTAGAACGCCCTGGTTAACTCTTCTTAAAGTCATTTTTGGTGGCACACCTGTCTGAGCACACCACAGATACCACCAGCAGCTACAACGGCCTGCAAGGCGGGGCGTTCAGGGAACATCGGTAAATTGCAGAGTCTATCGATAAGAAAATGTTTAGCAAGCCATATGTTTTGCCTTTGACAAGGTGGGAGGTGTGACCAAATGAGAAAGTTTGTTGCACCAGTGGAAAAGTTAGTCTGGAGCCCCGTATAAATATCCACAGAGCGTTCACTGTTAGGAAAAAAATACAGTTCAGTGGTGGCTGAAGGTTTCTCAAAATAACCGTCAGAGAATGTTCCTTGATAGTTTACTGAAGGTTTTATAGAAATGACATTAAGAGTATGTTCCTAGAATATCCTCTGAAAGTTCTTCAAGGGCTTCACACATCATTTTGGACATAATCGTGTAGCCCTGGTTATTTGAATGAAAATATTTCAGCTATGACGTTGACCAAAACAGGCACTCTGTCAGCCGTGTCTTGTATATATTGCCACCACAGAAGGAAACTGTAATGGAAAATTTAAAGTGCAATGGAAGCGTTATATGCTTGTACATTGCTGCTGCAAAGATAACCTTTCCCCCACATACCTCAATATGACCCTGTGTTGTTTGTGAGTTTCTTAGAAAAGCAGAAACGTCCAAGCATTCTGAGTATCCACATGCTAAGGTATAGGGTTGTCTTAACCATCTTTCTGATAAAGCCTGCTGTCTGATTTCAAGTATGTGTGGAGACTAATCTGCCCCGCAACAGCCAGGTTTCATATCAGGGGGGTCAAGTAACGTGCTATCTACATGCAGTTGTTCTCTCCTGCAGGTTGCTTGCACTCTGTGTGACTTCAAAGCTTTGAATAAAGAAAGACAAAGACATCTCAGACTTCTGAATTTGCTTAATGATAATAACGCTTCCACAGCACAACATTACTACTTTCATTGACTGTTTAAATCACAAAGCTCAATATGATAAGTAAAACGTTTTGGCTACCTTGCCAGTGTTACACCATAAAAAACTCTGTCCTGGTCTTTTCACAGACCATAGCTCATTGTTCTTTTGTCCTCCACATCACTCTATCAAGCAAATACTGTATCTTAAAAATCAAGGATTATTAATTGTGTGAATACACTGGAGTAATTTAAGTATGAGGGTTAAGAGTCTTTAATATAATTTATGATTCAGATTTACTTGACAAACTATTAGGGTTAGAGCTACAATAGCACGGAATATATATTTACCTAATTCAAATATTAAGATTAACGCCGTACAGTATTACATACTCAGCTAAGTTACCTGACTAATGTAAATATTAGGGTTCGGACTTTACTAAATCATACACAGAAAACCAAATTAATTCAAAGATTCTTTATGAGCAGCATTATGGTAAGAATAGAGAAGAAAAAGTCCCTTTTAACATTAGGAGACCTCCAGCAGAACCAGGCTCAGGGAGGGCAGCCATCTGCCTCGATCAGTCAGGGTTGAGAGAGGAGGAATAGGAGGAATTAATGCAGCTCCAGAGCTAGAAAAGACCTGCTGAGAGGAACAAGAAGAGAGAATAAAGCACACAAACTACAGGACAGAAGAGACACTAAGGTAACGACATGCAATAGCACATGAAAATGCATGAAGGAAGCCACAAGAGTTACATAAAACTTGAGTAAAGACACTCAACCATGTGAACAGGATAGTCGAGGTAAAGCCAGATTAAAAGAGAAGGAGAAAGTAAAAGAGAAAAGTCACTGCTATAATGTAGACATCTGCTCATTGCTCAACTCAACTACTGCTACACACCATAGACTGTGTAACTCTTATACGGTCTATGCTACTGACTGGTTGGAGCTGCATGTATTTCCTGTGTCGGCCTGAGGGGGGCGGACTTACACTCTTACTCTCTGTTCTCTCATTTTAGCTGAAGAAGAAGAAGACGGTTACTGGGGTAACGTCAACATCACCTCCCGTTGCTAACTTTCTTAGCTAGCGTTTTATTCTGTAGTTGACATTTTCCTTTCAGAACACCTATCTGTAAAACTGCTTCGGTTAGAGATTTTTATTTTTCGGTTGGAGGTATTTTAAACCCAATTTGAGGTACGTAGCACTTGCTACTTTATCCAAACAGTTCTGTGGTAACAAGCTAACGCTAAAACTAGCTGTTTTTACTCTCAGCTAATAGTAGTAGCATTTGTACAACGAGCTTAGCAAAACAGCGTCAGCTAACGAATTTAACACAGCCAAAAAGTCTACGTTGATAATGAAGAAATAATGCAACCGGAGACGTTGTCCTAACGCTACAGAGCTAACGCTTTTGATAGCAGTCAGCATGAAGTTAATACAATGTTGACATGACAAACGTTTGGGCAGCTAACGGTACATCTACGGTAATTATTTTGTGGTATTTTAAATGGCACCAAGCTCTGGAAAAACACAACATGTTGCAAGTTATCGTCAACGTTTATCATTTAAATGTAATTCTTTAGTTTAATGAATCACAACTACACGTTATTAAAAGGCTTTGGTTAACAACAATACTTTTCAAACACATGTGCTGCATACTATCATGTTGATGGATCACATGAAGGAACTGAACAGTATATAAGGTTCTCTCATTGTCATCTCTGTGTTTTGGATGACAAGTCATCCTCAAATTTGCACAAATTGGACATATTGGTGGGACATCTGTTGTGTAAATATACATGCATTTGAATAGCTGCCCTGTGTATGACAAGTACAATCAAAGAGATATGACAAGGCTCTAGCTGTTGAAGCCAGGCTTTATAACAGACAACATAAAGTGTGTGTTACCACAATCAGCAGCTCTGTATTATTGCAAAATTGCATCCATACTGAGAAAAAAAAGGCACAGAAAGAATCTTTTTGCTCTGTCTGCTAAAGGGGACACAGTGTGGAAGAACTGGGACATAACAGGAACGTTTTCTTTGAGTTTTTTTTTTTTTTTTTTTTACCTATTCTGCTTTTTCCTGTTAGAATGATTTTGTTTGACAAGAACATGTTCAGTTACAACTTGATGTAACACTGCTGTGTCTTCATTCCACCCACCACCAACCCTTCCTCCAGTACTATCTGTATATTTGTTGGATCATGTGTGTTTAGCCAGTTGAAAGCTAATTAGGTGGAGAGATGAAAAGTATGAATTGTTGGGCTCCACTGTTTTGAATGTTATGCTTCAGGGTTCAAACCAGCAAATTTCCAGTCACATGTTTGCAGACATAATAACAAGCACTAGTTGTAGCCACACTACCAGGTTGTTTGAGTTAGATTCCATAAAGCAGCTCCAAATATGTGATTTGTTGTTGTTTCTGTTAATGTCCATACAGGTTTTAGGCATTATGACGAGCCAGCGGCCTCCCTCCAGCATGGGCCGACCAATGAGCCGCAGTGGATCTGTGGTCCCTGGTGCTGGAAGACCCCCAACAGCTGTCCGACCTCCTCCTACAGCTATTCGTGTCGCAACTGGGGTAATTCCTCAACAGCTTGGATGCATTTTAGCTTTTAGATATTAGAAAAAATGTCTGTAAGGTGTTTCTTCACCAACTCCATTTGTGATCCCGACATAATTAGTGTGAGACAGCATTTCATCACACAGTTAGGATATGTGGCTGTTTTTAGATGTTGGAGAGTTGATAACCAGCCTCAATTTTTATTGTTTTCTACAGATGATCTGATTGAAATCTGGACTTATGGAGTTTAATTCTTGCATGTTTTTGTATTCAGATGGTTCCAGGTACCAGTGGTCATCCTGGTATGAGGGGGGGCATCCCCATCGCTGCCCCTGGAGTCCTGTCAGCACAGATCAAAGTGACTGACAGGCCGGTCACCCAGCAGGGGCTCAGTGGGATGAAGACTGGAATGAAAGGTGTGTTTAAAGTGTCACCAGGCCACTCTTTTCGCATTCTTTTATGCAAGCATGGGGTCTTATTTTTTTTCTAATATGTCACTGGCAGCTGAAATAACAAAGTCATTATACCACCACACATGTCTTTTGCTCTATTTATCATGCTAACACCATGTTTCTTCCATATCCCATCCCAAAAGGACCTCAGAGACAGATTCTGGATAAGTCTTACTACTTGGGCCTTCTCAGGTAACCCATACATGTTTTTACTAACAATATTTTTTATTTACATTAGACGTTGTTTCAGCAGATCACTCATGCAATATCAAGTATGTTGTAAATATACAAGCTATCATATAATGGTTTTTGATATGTAAAAGATCAGAATATTGCATGGTAAACTTAGATTGAACATATTATATTCAGGTTTAACATAAGATAAGTGACAAAGAGAAAGAATACCAACAAAAGGGTTATCTGTTTTGTAAAACATGTTCAGCCTTTGCGTTGTTTTTCCCAGAAGGGCAGCCTTATTTTCACTTAACATAAGTCCATTTTATGATGTTAAAGTGAATATTGTTGTTTTACTGTCAGGAGTAAGATCAACGAGTTGACCACAGAGACTAGCAAGCTGCACAAAGAGATTGACAACTACAACCAAGAGAACTCTGTATATCTGTCCTATGAGAAGAGGTAGGTGGTGTTTTGGTGCTGACAGTTCCAACTGTTTGATTCTCCTGATGGAAAAATAATAAAATGTCTGTGAGTAAAAAGTTAATAATATAACACTGCATGAAATCCCTACATTACTAACAGTTAGATGTTGTGTGTCCACTACAGAGCTGAAGGCCTGGCTGCAGAGATTAAGGATCTGCAAGGGCAGCTTGCTGACTACAACATGGTAAACAGCAACTGCAAACTGCGTGTTGTCAAACATTGCATTTACCTAAATAATTCATTAAAATTATTTATTAATATATAGCAGATGAAAGGTAATCTTCAGCTCCTACATCATGCATAATACAGTGCAAGAGAAAGAGCAAATGTTTATGCATTTTATGTATGAAGCTGAAGCAGTGATGATGACCTATAGTGAGTGTAAAATTACAGAATGTGCACCCCAGAAGATTACGTCAAACAAATTAAGGGTATGAAAAATTCTCCCTAACTCAGCAGCTCAAGGATGGTAAATGTCATTGCTGTTAAGTCAGTATACTCAGAGGCAACAGAACATTCACAACTTTGATAAGTCCTCAGTGGTTTGTAGTGGACAGTGCCACTCCTTATTACAAACTAATTTCTGTTGTATTTTTTGTTTATGTAAATCCTTTATTTCTGTTTCTAGCTGGTGGACAAGCTCAACACGAACACAGAGATGGATGAAATGATTAATGACTACAACACTGTAAGTACACCATGTAAACAGTGTAAAAGGCACGATTCACTGGGCTGATTTGCTGTGAACAGCTTAATATAATGAGAATTCCTTTTACTTTCCCTCCTGTCCTCCCTCCCAGTTGAAAGCCCAGAATGACAGCGAGGCAGAAAGCATTGATAGCATCTTCACAGAGAGGAGAGAGTAAGTACAAGTGTTGTTACGTTTATTACACTGATCTCTCAAACACAGATAAATTGATTTAAAGCATGAACACAGAGGTTTAAATTCAGGAATTACATTCTTTAAGTTATATTTAATGCTTGTCCTTGCTTTTGATTCACAACTTGTAAACATTATTCAAAAGTGCAGTATCTAACTTAAGGCCAAGAAGCTAGAATGAACATAAATCCAAGCTATAGGCAGCAGGTGAATGAAGCTGTATGTCTGCCAAGACTTGTGCAGAAAAATGTATGCATGGTCCTAAAAATCAGTGTTCATGGTGCTGTTAAAAACTAAGCAGTGGGAGTTGAAGACTAAACTGGTACTAAACAGCATCAACTCTGCCTCACGTCCTTCTCCCCTCTTCTGAAGGACATTATGTGGCTTTTCACTGCAGGAACTCAGGGCTGGTGCAAGGTGGCATGAGCTTTTTCAGGAACAACTCCCTAATTGTAATATGTTGTAGAACTCAATAGCTTAAGAAATAACTCTAAGTGCACAAAACAACAACAACAAATAGTAGTTACTGGACATAATCCCAGTTCTATGAGCACATTGAAAAAACAATGTTTTTTTAAAAAAAATGTTAGTCTATAAGGTAAATTTGAAGTTGTTAGAGAGGTGAAGACTGCTATTTAACAAGGACATTAAGAGAGCAGAAAATATGACATTTGTTGTCCTTTCCAAGTCCAACTAAATACTGTTAAGACCCGTGCAGCAGTTTCTTAGGGTTGCTCACAAGTACCTGTGCCAGAATGGCCCAACAGTTCCTGCTAAGTAACGACACTGAGGAACTGCCCTGCAGTTTCAGAGACAGACAGTAATTGACAGGCTGGAGTATAATCCGAAAGGTACTTTGTGGATTTATTAAAATGTTACAAAAATAACAAATAGTTTCTCCTTAAAATGTATTGTGTGTGTCATTGTACTCATTTTTTTTTACCTGCCTTTTATAATGCATTGCCAACATTTTGGCTAGTCAGCTTATCATCTGCAAGGACCCACTCAAAGAAAAATATCTCCAGGTGCTCCGAGAGGTCAAAAGCTCTATTGTCAACCATGTTACAGTATTTACTTCATGTTTTTGACATTGGAGCAATGGTGCAGAGTAAATCTGTAGAAACTATACAGAAAGTTTTTACAGTAGGGACCACTGACCTTGGACAAGGTTTTAGTGATCCCTACAGTTCTAAGACTCAGCAGTCTGTTAAAAATAAATAGCTAGCTAATTTTATTTAGTCAGGTTATTCACTTAACCTGTTGTATGCTGTATATACCCTATCTAATACGCTATTATAAAGTCTCTCCTTGAGCTCCTAGTTTTAGAGAACATGTGACAGATTTTCCTTTCATTGTGAAAAGCTCCTCATCTTGTCACTTGTTGACAAACTGCTGTTTTTGCATCTTTATGGTTCTGCTGTAATCTCCTCCCTTGATCTTGATGTCACTCTTCCCTCCTGATATATGGATCCTCATAGTACCCATCCTCCTCCTCCTCTTCCTTCTCTCTCTGCCCGTTCTGTTGCTCAAAAGTGAATGTCTGATGGTTCAGGTCGTCTTCTGACTGGAGACGCCGATGGCGATAGTTGTGGAAGAGCTTATACCAGGAAGGTCCCTTGATGGCACATATGATGAGCGTGGAGGTGATCACTGCCAAGGCTGCAACACATGCTGTGAACTTCCATGTGTTCCCGTTCACAGGTGTCTGGTCTAGTAGGGAATACAAGGTAGAGACAGGGAACCGAGAGCACTCTGTTAAGTTTGCTGTGTTTTATTTGTACATCTACAGAGAGAAGAGTGATTAAAGAATAAAAACATCTACATCTCTCTTGTTGTACCTTTGCTGGTGCTGGGGTTCTGGCTTGATGGCAGAGTGGTCTTCATGGGGGTGGATGACTGTTGAGAGTGGCCTGATGTTGGCAGTTTTGGTCGACTTGTAGTGATGGTGGGTCGTGGTGATGTAGAACACTGAGCTGTAGCCTCTAGAAGACTGGTTCCAGCCTGCTTTGCTGGAGATGCACAGATGACTTGTGGTCCCCCTGTAGAGCCAGACACCATTTATAGGCTTCATTCAATTGATTAATATCCACTTAGCTCACTACGTTTAATGTTCTGCACTGAAGTATCTGTACCACCACAGCACATCTCCACAGACATATGAGATTATGGCAAATAATACTACTGATATCTTGGTCATTTGAATTCCCCACACCAGCATTGCGTGTTTTATCAAAAAGCTTTAAAAAAAATTTGCATATGGATGTTTTTCACTCAGATTTGACCCTTCTGTCTAAATGTCAGAGAAGCTGCAAGCAAGCTAATGATTTTCTAATATTCCTTGAAATATAATAATAGTTGTATTTTGACCTAAATTCTTGTATCATTCTATTTTTAGATCATCCATAGTTAAATAATTAACCCTTAAAATTGGCAGGTAATCTAAGAATTATAAACCAGCCTGGATAAGGATCACAAGTCAGTGTATTTCAGAATTTTAAAACTGTGCATGGAAAAATTACTACCAATGGTAACATTTGCTGCGTTAATCTCTCCAATGGTGCTCAGCAGTGGACAGGAACAGTTCCAGTGGTTTCCCAGTAGGTTCAGCATCTGATGGGAACAGACAGGGTCAGGTTAATGGAATAATAGTCCATGCAATGGAAAAACTTGTTATTTGACCAGGTTTACTGTTGGGCCTAATGATTTGAAGACAATATCTATTTGCAAATATTTCAACAAAACCCTGGGTCAGAAGCACTGCATCTGAAACTGCAGCCTTTGCAATTTGCTGATTGCATTGATTCAAAATCAATTGATTGTTCTGGCCTAGTTTACAACCATGAGTTGCGTCCTTTTACAAAAAGACCTCACCTACCGCTAAGGGACACAGTGTGGCTGAAATAGCATTCTTGGAGTAAAACATAATATGGTGTTCTTTTGCAGTACAAAGTTTATCAGTGACCTTGTATTTCATAAGATAAAACAAGTTTGGAGAGGAACTAACTTTACAATTTCCACTATTGCTCAATGCAAGGCTGATGCTGTAGTCACATTGACAGATTAGTATGTGTGTGAATATAGTGATGCTTGTAATACAGCGAAATGATTGATACTGAACGTCTGAGGAATCTTCCGGATCATTTTCATTCATTCATCTCTTGTTGACCGTGTGCAATTTACCTGTAGGTTCTTTAGCTCTCGGATTAGCTGTGCAGGGAGACTTGTCAGCAGGTTATAGGACAGGTCCAGCTCTGTCAGGACATCCAGGCCAGAGAAAGCCTCAGGGTCCAGGCTGCAACAATATCCATGGTAGAAGGATCATCATTTGTAGTAATATATCACTGCACTGGAACAGTTTTTGGTCCTAACAAATATCATGAGTATCTACCAGCATGCTTAAAATCAGTTAGAATTGGTCTGTACTATGGAATTACACAATGCTATCGTCTTAGTTTGCTTTCTTATTGACCTGCTGAGGTTGTTCCTTGCGAGAGACAGCACTCTGAGGTGTGGGACTCCAGAGAAGTAGTTGGCTGGTATCGCAGTGACGAGATTACCGTCCAAGTTGAGTTCTTCCAGTGTGGGATAACTAGCTAGAGCCAGTCGGTCCGTCTCATTCAGAGTAATCAGGTTCCCCTCAATCACCAGTTTAGTAACACTGGTTTTGTTGTTATTGGGAGGGATGACTTGTAGAGACTGGTTGCTCAAGTTTCTTACCAGCTGAGGGATAGATTGATGAACAGTCATTAGAACAGAACAATCTGAAGACAACACATACAGCCAATTGAAGCACAATCATAAATCAACAGTGTTTTAGAACTTTTCATACGGCAGCATCCTCTTCCACAGCCTCTGCAGTATTTCCCAGTATATTCGCCACTGCAGTCAGCCACAGCAGGAGGAGAGTTTGCCAGCACCTTTCCATTACCCTGCACTGACAAGAAACAAATACAAAATACTCTGACTATAAATACTGTTAAAATAGACTCTAATAATAATAGACTCTTCTGTTGTATCAGGGAGAATGAAGAAGATCAGCCAATGACAAATATTTTTAGGTTTGTCAGTCACGCAGTTTGTCTGTGCAGTTATCTGAGTTGGCTTATCTTGTTTACTTTATGATTCAGAGTTGAGCTTTATCAATAAAACACAGCATCACTACACCACATGTTCCAGTTTGCAGTTCCAGTGTGGACTGAGCCAAATTGGTTGCACTTTATTACCAATTATTATTACAATTATTATTTGTTTGCAGTCAAATTTGAGTAGAAACTGCTTGTTTAATTTGCAGTCTAGAGACACAACTATATGCAATTTTAACATGTGTCCTTACCGGGATAACAGTTAGGAATATACATCACACAGAAAGAACAGCCCCAAACCCACATTCATTTAAATGTTTAGCAATAACTACTCACTCTCACAAGTAGAGCTGCAACAGTTAATTGAATGATCAATTAATTGAGCAACTATTTTAACAATAGATTCATCTGTCTGATTATTTTTTAAAGAACAAAAAGTACAAATGATCTGTTTCTAGCCTCTATAATATGAATTTCTTTTGGATTCTGTCCTCCTCTGTGACAGTAAAACGTAACAGACCAAAGAGCTAATCGATGAATCAAGAAAGTAATTGTCTCATAAAACAACAATGAAAATAATCAGTAGTTGCGGCTATAGCCCCGCCCCTCCACTTCCCACAATCGTGCGGGCAACTGAAAAAGCAAAAGCAGTCTATTCCTATCCTGTGTCAACATCTGGAAGTTCAAAAATAGAATTCAAGGGGCTTGGAATCACTTATTTTTAAGAGCTTTAAAGAGACTGTTGCAGAAAGAGGACCAAAAACAGTGAAGTTTTGGACAGAAGTCCAACATGTGGGTGAAGTCAGCAAATGGTGAGAGGCAGCTATTACAGGCTTCCCTAGTGTTGAAACAGCTGTGTAAGACCTTCAATTGAATTAATGTTGAGACTAAAGCAGGATGAGGTAGAGTTGACTCTATCAAGATACTTTCCACAGATATTGGTTTGAAAGTGTTTTAAGAATGTTTGGTAAACGTCTATAATAGCTGATTGTCAAAATTGTTGCAATCATTTGTCGGTGGACTGACTTGTTTATTGCTCAAGTGGTTGTTTCAGATTTACTCATTTAAAGTACAGCTTGTTGACACAAAGTGGTATGCCTACAGATAGAGCAACATACATAGCAGTGGGAAAAACAGTTTGATAGGTAGACGTGAAACAGCTGTCACCATCAGGAGTAAATGAAAATCATTTCTTTTAGACTTCCATACATGCTCGTGGACACTAACCTGAGTATGCAATCATTAAGACGAGACACTACACATCATCACCTCATCCTGTTGTTTATTTCAATGCCATGTCCTGATCACTGTATATTAAGTGAGAACTCATAAAACCATGGTCAGAGTAGAGTATATGACATGTTTGTGTTAGTTAGTCATGCAGTGAACAGATACTCCTACACTGGACTGTCTCTTTGACTTATGGACAAAGCAAACATGTTGAAGTGCTTCATACTGAAATTCTGAGGGCAATAAACGCTTGTGTTTCTTTTTATTGCCTCATGAAGACATGCATTAGCTGACTAACCTTTAACTTCCGCAAAAAACTGTCATTGCATCTATTCCGACTTATAAACACTTTCAGAATTGAATCTGATTCTGTCTTTATTCGATGCTAATAAGTAGAAAGTGAAGACACTTACCTGTGCTTCTATCGGCACTAAGGTCAACTTTTATTCACCTGTCACTGTCACGCCGCCAGCACAGCAAATGACCCTTGTTCCTTGTAAAACATGAAGGCTGGTACTGTTCCTGCTAGCTAACCATTTATGATCAATCGAGTCAGTCCTCCTTTCCTTACTTTCTGTCTTACTCTGTTTACAAGTATCTGCAATCCTATTTTTCTCATTAAATAATACTAATAGTCAAACTAAATTTAAATAATACAACAAATTAATGCATGGACTGAGTTAAGTTTAGTGACATAACATTTTCTTATGAGAGGGAATAATTTAAGACTTGAGGAATCAGAAAGCAAAGGGAAAGGATTTACATTAATGGAAGGGAATTAGGAGGAAAGTTAAAATGTAAGGTGTAACGGGGGTTTTATGAGGTGAAAGGAGAGAGAAATACAAGAAAGTGAGAGAGGATTTTGAAATGAAGGGAAGAGAAAAGGCCCTGTTTTTTTTGTTTTTTTTAGTGAGTCCAAATGTAACTGACATGAATCTGATGGTAGAACGTCAGGGTGGAGAGAACCAAGGGAAGAGTTCCAGCTGCTCTAACTCTGGTTTATTTTGGTTGCAGCATGAAAGTAGGAACATCAAATCTAAGGCTGTGTTTTTTGATACACCGTCTGCTGAGAGAATGTTTTGTTGAGGAGAAAATGTAAGTTTTACAATGGACCTCCTAGAACCTTGACCGACATTCTATACAGCACCGATGTGATGCTATGGAGAAAAAATGTCAGCGCCTCAGTGCTCTAGTGTAGAAGCTTTATGGGCTGAAACATGGAGGAAGCAGTGACTGCACCTACAAACATGCTGATTCCATGCCTGTATGTTGCCAAGCAGTCCTGCATGTACATGTACAATATGTTTACACAGAAGAGCATTAATATATACATTGTGCTTCGTCCCTTTTAAATGCACAGTAAATAAATAAGGAAGTGATAGTATACAATAGGCCTTTAAGTATCTTTTCCTTTTTATTCCTATTATTGAGTAAAGTAAAAAAAAAAAAAAAACCCTCCAACTCCTCCAGCCTGCTGTGTGTTTGCTCTGCAGGAGAGAGGAAGCAATCAGGGCGATTGAGGAGGAGATCAGGAGGGAGAGACGGGTGGCTGACGAAGTCGTCCAGGCAATGCCTGCCGCAAAGCAGGAGAAGTATTTCACCATGACGACAGCCAATGAAGAACTGCTACAGGTATAACTGCAGTTTTAACCTTATGGTAGTACGAGAAAACAGGAAGGAGAATGATTTTATTAGCTACAGATTGATAAACGTCAACCATTGACAGGTGTTATGGCCTCCATACAAAAAAGAAACCCAAGGCTCAACATGTGAAACAAAGGGACTCAAGACAAAGTTGATCATTAACCCACAAGCTTTGTTTTTGAGTGAGTGATTCCCTGAAGTAGCAAAACAGAAAACAAAGGGAAAACAAAAGAGACTTGAGACCCTGGCCAAATTGAACAAAAGGAGGGAAGTTGCTCCCAACACCTTCCCCTAACCTACCTGAAAAGAAAACCTACATCAAAAAGATCGAATAGACTATTAACAATCTCTAGCCCAAACCACCACAACAAACTAACATAGCAAAACCCCCAGCACCTAAATGTGCCCGGGGAAACCTGCTTGGAGAGAAACAAGAGGAGAAGTCACTCCTCACCACCTGTGCAGCTGCCCTTGTGTGTACCAGCCCTGTCTCTGAACTCTCTGCCCTCCTTACCCCCTCCCCCGCTCTCTACCTGAGTGCTGACTTCACTCAGGTGTGCAGCAGGCAGAGGGAGGAGGGAGATCAGAGAGAGAGAGAGAGAGAGAGAGAGAGAGACAGCAGGATGCCACACAAGAGCACATGTAACAACAGGATCAAATCTATCAGCAGTGTTTCACTTAAGGGATGTAGGCATATACTAGTAGGAATATGATTCCGCCAGTTACATCTATTGGCAGTTTTTCATGGCACTGCAGTGAAAATACTATCATTCATTCATTCATACTTATTGTTTAACACTGTTGCATTCTTTGACACCATTTAAAGGTAATTTATGTTCTTAAGTCTTCATCTTGTCTTTTCCTTGCCTCCTTGTTTCATTTAATAGGAGCTAACTGTTCTCCAGGAGGAGCTGGACATTCTCATAACCAGAAAGGAGGATTATGAAGCAGTGAGTTGGGTTAAAAAGAGGACAAAATGAGAGAAAATATGCAACATGAAGAAGGAGAACGGATGCAGTGATATGTGTAGCTGCAGCTGTTTTATCTGACTTTTTCCTTTTCACAGGAACTGTCCCACTCGCAGATAAAGCAGGAAGTAGTTCGCCTTCATGAGACCCTGTCGACACTGGAGGCAAAGCGTGACGCCATGGAGGCTGAGCACAAGAGCCTGGGCTCCCCCAAGGAGGAGCTGGAGAAGTTATTTAAGCAGGTTAGCTTCACACGGAAGTACAACGCATTCACAACACCAGAAAAAAATCTTGTAATGGTGAGAGGAGATCTCTTAGTTACCTGAACAGAGCATTGTTATGAACGTGGTTAACAATGCCCAGATTGTCTCATATTTACGAGATCCAGATTTCCTAACTGTGACAACTTTGCGTCATCATCACAAGAACAGGTCTCTAGATTTTTTTTCCCCTTTTGTGAATGGAGTGCACATACCTGAAATATATGATTTTACACAGACACGACTCATATGAAGCAATTAAAGTTGTATTTATATAAAATATGCCTCTCTATTGTAAAAGTTATTGTATTAAATGAAATGAAATGAAAATACTCTATTTATTTAAATAAATATATAATATAAAACATTACATCTTTAGCTTAATCTACTCAGTAAGAGCCTCTCACTGGCTTTTTCCACAGCATCCAGAGCCAGATCACTATCTTCTGTTTAACTGACAGAAATAATTAGATTAACCTTTAAATGTTGCTTCATCAAACACTCTTACATACTTCAGGTCTTTAACTACACTTACTTACTCACTTACAATGATGCCTATATAACGTATAATGCTTGTACAGTTGAACTGTTGTCATCAAAACACCTCCATTATCAAAGAAACTGTTACTCTGTAACCCATCATGTTATTGTGACAGTGAGCTCCTGCAATAATTCTCTTGCACCTGTATGTATTTATAGTAATAGAAAGACCTTATAAAGTTATGGAGTTATGGAATTAAAAAAAAAAAAGAGAAAAACTACTCTGCAACATTCCTGGCATGTTGACAAGAGAGCATTGTTAAAGACAAACAGCTGGAAAGAATCCAACCGGAGTGGAGTTGCTTAATTGAATTAAACTAATGAATATCAGACTCAGGTAGGTATTTGGGTTCATAAACACCAGATTTAAGCTGTTTCTATGTTTTCCAGGTGAAGGAGGACAACCAGGAAATTGCCAGCATGGAGAGACAGTACGTATTCCTGTTCACTGATTAGCTGTTTGCCAATTGGAAACGTATTTGACTTACGTGTGTGCAATTGTGTGTGTGTTCAGGCTCACGGAGATCAGGGACAGGAGCAGACAGATCACAGACGACATCCGACACCTGGAGCAGGACTCAGAGGCAGCTCAGGGTAACCCTCTGCTTTCAGCTTCTTCTTTTCTAATTGATATATTTTAACCTGAGCATCTAATCCAATACAATTTGGTTGCCTTTTCACATTTTGACATGTAGGTTTTTCACGCTGCTTTGATATTTATCCAGTATTAAGTACATTAAGGTTGTTTAAATAAGCTGAACACTACAGGCTTCCAGTTCATTGTAAATTTACTTTAAAGTATGAACTGAATACTAATATGACTTCTATGCGATCCTTTCTTCCATAAGGGGAATGTCAACAGAAGTACAAGGAGATGAAGAGGAAAGAAGAAGAAATTGACCGTGAGTTCCAGTTGAACTAGAAGCCGGTGATGTGGTCAGTCCTGGTACATAGCTGTAACCCTAACTCAGGCCAGTCAGTCAGTTTGAGAGTGAAAGCAGCTGCTCATCTTGTGTTTGCTCTTTCTGTGGCGGTGTGTGTTTGTTTGTATATGTATATACAGTATATGCTGTTTTGGGATCTAGCCACTAGGAGTCGCCAAAGTTTTTAAATCCTGCACAGTCTAGTTTCAGTGTATGAACAGACACAGCTTCAAACAAAACTCCAGGCAAGTAGCAATACGTAACAATGACTTTCTTTCTTTGTACCTTTTAGGGTTCCTGGAGTCATTTGAGGAGTCCAGGGCTCAGGAGCAGGAGAGGATGAGCCAGACTCAGGAGAACATTGTGTCACTGCTGGAGCACTGCAGCAGGGTGAGGGGGGGAAGGAGGGGGGAGGAACTAGAGAGACTGATAATAAGGAATGTACTGTACATTTAAGAAAGATGGAGTAGTTGAGGTCAGATGAAGGAAAATATATTGTGAAAAGAATAAAGCATGGCACATGAGATTAAGTGTGCGTGTTTGTGTGTAGAGCATGTTGCGGCTACGTCAGGTGGATACAGTGACAGCCAGCGAGCTGAGGAACATGCAGGAGGTACTGGTTAGCAAAGAGACGGAGGTGGTCCAATCAGAGAGCACTGCCAGAGGACTGACCACAGGTTGGTCACACACACACACACACCTGAGTTGTCCATCCATCCATTATCTATACACCACTTAATTCTCACTAGCCTACCCCAGCTGACTTAGGGTGAAGGCAGGGGACATCCTGGACAGGTCACCAGTCTATCACAGGGCTACACTTGACAGACAACCATCACACTCACATTCACACCTACGGACAATTTAGAATCACCAATTAAGTTCAACATGTTTTTGGACTGTGGGAGGAAGCCGGAGAACCCGCAGAGAACCTACGCTGCAGGGGGAGAACATGCAAACTCCATTCAAAAAGATCCTGGGTGTCCTCAGCGACCTTCTTGCTGCGAGGCGACGGTGCTAACCACCAAGCTACCTTGCAGCCCCACCTGAAATGAGTTTTATCATTTGTGTGAACATTACATTGACTTAAATGCATTTCCTAACTATGACCATTAACCAAGTCTTCACACTGAAATGTGATGACCTGCATTAGGAGGACTTGCTCTTTTGTTTTAAAAGGGAGGTGGGTACCTACACTACAACTGTAATCTGGTTTATGTCCCTGCAACACGAGTAATACAGCCACACGCACATGGACTCATGTGGCTCCAGTAAATGACAGAGTGTAGAAGACCAGTCAAGTCAAACAAGGAAAGGCTACCTTGTTACCTTTGCTTTGCACCACCCAGAGTCCCATCGCCTGCAGCAGGACCTGGAGAAGGTGCAGCAGCTGGAGGGGAAGATCACAGGTGAGCTCAGCACTCTGAAGGAGCGCGTTGGCACCATGGAGTCTGAGCTGCACACCTACAGAGACCTGGACACCCTGAGGCGCACAGCCGAGGAGAAGAAGAAGGTAACACCGGCTGCGCTCAAAAGCACAAATCAAACAGCCGAGTAAGACACATAAATGTGTTGTTATCACCTATGTACCATAGAATGACAGGGGTATTTGTATGTACATGGAGGTTTCAGCCCCATCCTTCCTGAGCTTGTCTTTTCACTGTGTAATCAAACACAAAACTGTAAACCGTCCATCCCTATCCCTCTAAGGCCAGCCATGTTTTTGTCCTTCTGGTGCAGAGACTACAGGAGGACCGGGTATCACTGACTCAGCGTCGAGATTCATTTGGACAGCTGTTAGAGGAGATGAACCAGAAATATGAAGCTCTGAAGACCAAACTGGAAGAAAATGAGACTCATGCTCAGGTAGAGCATTTTACACTTTACCAAGACACTGATATGAAAGTGTGATGACTTGAAAAACACATTTTCATCACATTTACAAGGAAGTATTTATTTTACACCTCATTTTACACACTGACACATAGCGATCTGAATACCAAGTAGAGGTAATATCACAATTTTCCTAGTTTGACTGAAAGAGCAGATGTGATGTAGATGGGAATGTATAGCCAACTGTTAATGCTGCACATTGTCAACTTTTTTTCAATTTGCAGTCCTAAATGAGGAGGGGGTTTGTCGGAGGTTTTTACGAACATGACATCATTTTGAGCAGTCACTGTTTTGGTGTTCTCAAAATTCGATCTACTGAGCACCTGAAAAAAAGAAAAACAACAGTGACACAACCAGCTGGTCTCTACATTCATGTTGTTTGGTGTTAAACTGTCTGCACTGTCGGTGCACATACACAATATAAATCAGATTCATAGGTTGCAGATGGAGAACAAAGAAAGAAATACATAAGAGAACAATAAACCTTGTGGAGATTGATGAGGCCGATAACTGCAGATTAGAGACATGTTGTGCCAGATCCAGAGACACCTTCAGAGAGAATAAAACAACTTTGGATTGTTGGGTTGTAAGGTCTTTAAGATAAGATGGAGCTTGGTCATTAGGAGTTTTATATGTGAGAAGCAGGATTTAGTTTTATTTATTTTGACCCTGAGTCCGTTTGCTAATGAGGTTGATGGTCACAACTTCTGAAGATGGTCACTCAGTCTAGCAGGAAACGTGCTCTCATCTCTTCTACTGTTTTCACTTCTGAAGTGCACCTCACGTTGTTACATAGTGTTATTCCACACACGCTTATCTTATGTTTTGTCTTTCTTTGTGTGTGTAAATTCATTGTCCTAGCTGGCTAACCTGGAGAGGAAATGGCAGCACTTGGAGCAGAACAATTTTGTGATGAAAGACTGTATCCTTCAGAAACCTGGCTTGACTTTATTTCTAGTTAAAGACGGCAAACTGAATGGTTCCACTCATCACTTCTTTGGTAAGATGTCTTTTTCCCCTCCATTGATACACAGGTTTTTTTTGTTTTTTTCAAACCTAAACACAGCACACACCAAACTACCTCATTCCTTTGACCCTGTCCACACCAGCCCTACTTCTTCAGCGCAAAGATGCCTACTATGTATGAATGGTGTATTTTTAAGCTATCAGCCTCTTTGCTTAACAAATAGACATGAACCCTCTGAACCCCAAGCAGTTTCTGTCACATTTTTACTCACTATGGGCTCATTTTTTACAATAATATATTGAATCAGAGGGAGGTAAAGGATGAGGTAAAAACTGTTTATGTTTGGCAAATTTTTGAATGAAACATGTTGAATAAAGTGATTATGATGAAATATAATTTCAAGCTGGGATTTGGCTACTTTTTTTCCCCTCACACATGAGATGTATGAAGGGACCCTTAAAAAGCTGTAATGTGACCGTTCTCTCTGTTTTCACAATTTCTGGTTCTGATAAATGATGTAATTTTGGTAACTGGTTTTGGGATTGAGAGGGTTGGTCAGTAAGTATTGTACATATTGACTGAATTTTTATATTCAGATCGAAGACATTACCTACTTTCCCACAGACAGTAAAAAAGT